TTTGGTGCTCAGTTATTATCAATGTTGAAAACAGAGGCTCCCCCTCTGATGTAGAGTTCCTTAGGGTCAAGAACAGACAGAGAGAAAGAATGGGTGGTCACTGCATGCTCAGACAGCTCTGCAAACTCCTCATACAGATTCATAATCTACAAAAAAAAACAAAAAACAAATGAAATGAAATGAGCTTTTATTTTCTTTTTAGAAGTGGTCAGCGCTGAACATGAATCTAGCTTTAGAGAAACCGGGAAACTGACCTTCTGCAATACTTCAAAGGCATCACACAACACTATATAGTGGGGACTGGGTCAAACTATTGAGTGCCACATCCTCTTTTGCAGGCATTTGCAAAGTTTCCCTATTATAGGCATGTGTTTTATTGACTACACCATTTCCAGAAGCTGCCCTAATTAACTACCACATCAGTGTCTGTATCAGCTTGCAAATTTAGGAGATTACACATGGCAAGCGAGACAAAATCCTACAAAACACACACGGCTCTCAAAATGTGCCACATGAAATAATATTCCCAGGTGATTGTGAGAATTAGTCCTAAGGAATTCCATCAGATCTGTAATCAGTCAAACCCCCGCTGCTTCCTACCCACATGCCCATTGTCTTGTTTCGAATGCCTATAGAAATCAACAGGAGGGGTGGGGCATTCCTGCTCCTGTTCAGACTTGAGCTCATCGCACATTGCAAAAAACATGCTGTTTTTGTGATACAATGCGAAGGAAGTTTCAGCTATAAATACTAAAGTCTGCGGCTGTATGTCATGTCAGCACAGGTAATGGTACTGTTAAAAACATGGGAAAGAACGGATGTATACTGAAACATGACTTTAATGTATTTTAGAGTAAAAATGAATGAATATATATGCAGAAATGTGCCAAAGGACAACAATAAAAAACCTAAACCCATAATACAATAAGAATTATCACTGAATGCTATGCAAGCTATGCTTTAGCAGTCAAATTGAACTTAAATTATTTTGAGATTAATAAGCAAGCAGAGTGCAGTACGCAAACCAAAACATCAAACTTAAATTATACTATAAATCCACATTTTACTTACAGAGTTTGTGGCACTAGGTGTGGTTCAGATTTATGATACGAAGGGGTGCGGTTTACAAAAAACGGCTAATTCCTATTGGTCGCTGCCTGCTGGTGTAACAGCGCTACCTGAAGCAGGTAGGCAAATAAAGACAGACCTGAGAAAGAGGATCACACTGCTGCTCATCACGACAGGACGCACATTAGTTCCAACTAAAAACGTTCAAGATCTTCATACTAAAAGTTTAGGCCTTTTAATTTTTGCATGGTTTAACAGAAAACTATTTCTGACTTTTTGTTTCTTTAGCACCAATTTGGATCTAACGCCACGAGCAAGGTGAGTGTGTGGTCAAAATCAAGGTGGGTAACATTTAACAGCAGTTGTCTTGAACTGAAAATATTTTAAAATATTGTGTGGATTTCTTTTCAAGTGTTTCTACATTCAACTTGGCGATAATGATGTTAAAAAGACAAACTAAAAAGTAGTTTAAAGTATATAAATATATTACAACTTCAATTTTGATTGTGTGCATGCAAGTACTGAAACGTGTGGAAAACCCCCCTCTCAAACATACAAGCATGTGGGGGGGGGGTTTAGGGTTGAGTTACACTGTGTTGGGAGGCAAAATGCAGAGTTTTCTGTGGTTGGCAAAGCAAACAGGCCTCTTACCTGTATGACCTACAGGCACGGAGGGAGAGACAGGTTTGGGCTCGCTGAAGGGAGAGGCCAAGACACAGAGTACATTCTCTCACACTCTCTGAACACAACAACAGCCTTCGCAATGGAACATTTTGAACCTGCACAACAAAATAGTATCAATTAGAAATGGAATTTGAAATTTCAATGTTCAAAATTTGAATGTACAGTGTTTTTAAATGGACAGTGTGCTTATGTTGTGTCATCCTTCAAACAGGTACAGACGTGCTGCGGAAGCCGAAAAGTGGTTTTATCTGCTCTGTGAATTCTATCCTTCATTCCACCGGAGTCTGTGTAGCTGTCCAATCAGATTTCAGTGGTGTGAAGTGTAGGAGACATGGAAAGAGCACTTTTTCCACAAGCTGCAAAGGTTGTTTTCATGGGCTTAACAGAAAAACAGCACAGATGCGAGGTGAAACGCATGTCAAGAACACAATTACAAGTTTTCAAAGGCATGCATGTCTAGTTTTGCGTTGTAGTATAATTTGCCATGTGCTTTCATGCTTGCACGGATCAATGCAGGCTGTGACAGTTGCATGCTAAACACTGTGAATGTTAATCCCCCGCTGTCCTATTATGCATTTAAGTTCAGTGTATCTAAGCATCTATGTAAAGCGTCGTACCTCACCCTGCCCTTTAGCGCACCGCTCCAGCTCCACACAACATGGCATGTTTGTTCATTTGCTGTTGTGGAGAGAGCCGAGGCGGGCTGAGTACACACACACCCACACATACAAGATTCACAAAGCCTGCCAAAATGTATTTATGTATGCTGGTTCAGCCTTTATCCTCTCAACCCACACTAATAAACTCACTTTACAAAATGTGTTTGTGTGAATTGCTTAATACTGACAAGAAACCACTACAATAAAACATAACCCTTACTCATTCACTTGGCATTTGGAATATGAGTGTTGCATTCGATGAATTTCAATTAGTCCACCAAACATGTGACCTGCTCTTTTCATGCATATGGTGAGGTTGAGACGATGTTAATGTTGGAAATGATTTCACACAAAGCCAAGCTGAGGTGAAGCGAGTTCAAAGCAAGGCAAGTACAGAGCGAGACACCCTCAGCTTTACAGAGTTCATCAACATTCAATGCATATATATATATATAGGCAGACACAGTATATATAATCAAACCTTTTTTAATATGCCTATTAAATACAAACAGCTTTTTAAAGCATAAAATGCTCAAACATTTTTCAAAAGAACTATATTTCACTAAAATCTTATATAAACACTCAAAGTTAACAGGAGCGTGTAGCAAGCAACAAGCTTAAATAATTACAGATATCCAGTCAACATATTTTACTCAGAGCATCAAAAATAAACAAACAAAAATTACCAAGAAACCTCTCAAAAATATTTTATTTTTATTTTCATATATACAAAGTTATCTCGTGAAACTCTAGATGGCGCAGGCCGATTAATCTGATATAATCACATCATCATTCACATGGCGCAGTGGCTGACTGGTTTCTTTTCACATCAGCAGCCAATAAGCTTGCTGCTCAACATTCAAATACTTGTTTAATGCTTCCTATAGCAGTTGCAGCGCGCTTCATAAACCCTCCACCTTCCCCAGCTCCACCTGTATTGATTTACTATGAGGTGATTTCATGTGTTATATGTGCAGCAGCAGTATTTCCTACATGCTCACAGCATCAGGTCTATGGATGTATTTACAGTAGAAAGTCTCGCTACTTGCTCTGACGCTGCAGCCTAGATCTATTCCGCCAAGACCAAACACATTAACATGAATATTATCATGCAAAACTCTCAGAAAGTTGTCATGACAGAAATATAGATTTGTGTGTGTGAGAGAGATTTTATTATTTTGTTGTATTATTATTATTCTAGGAGTTTCTGAGATACTTTAATCAATAGAAACTCTAAGATGTAAAAACAGCATTCTGTAAAAAACAGTGTGAAAGTATAAAAATGTAACCTGTCTCGAGCAAATATTATTCTTATGGCTGAAAATATTGCTTTGTGCTAAATTCACATTCATAGTGGTTTATTTTTAATTAAAATCCCCAAAGAAGAAAAAAAAGTCAAAGAGGATAAGGAGAAATGGCAAGGAGACCTTGCTGAAGACCTTGACTATATCAGACCATGGTGATCGCAGCCTCCAGCACTGGCTGTTCCTTCAGCAAAAACCGGCCAAACAAAGCCATTGTCCAGAGAACAGAACCGATTGTTTAGTTTCAAATTTCACACTTGATGACTCATGATTCCAGATGATTTGAAAATAAAGACAGACCAAGAGATGTAACGGCCATCTCCAAGATTTCAGTTACAATGCTAGCATCGATGCTCAGCTTCTTCCTCCTCTTCCTCAGCCCAAATTTTGCTGATGATACAGGTGAGTGGAGATGGCTTGCAGCAGATGTAAATAAACAGACACAAAGTTCTGACTGACTGATCCACCTGCTGTGTGGTATTGACATGAGAGGATGGTTTATTCGCTGAAGGTGACAGTGATAGAGGGGGGAAATATGTCTCTCCTATCACACATCCCCATTAATTGATTACACCTCTTCTCTGCGAATATCACGCGCCTGCCTCTCCCATGATATTCACAGCTGTTCTATACATTCCTCAAAGGATGGTATCAGCTGCAGTCATAGCAGCTGCCATAAAGACTGTCAAGCGTGACACAGGTAGCTTAAACCTAGAATGGTTCAGGCATAGATATACATACGTAGCTGCCTCATTAGCAACTGTTTCTATGGGCCGCAATATGTAAGCAATCCTCCATTTTTGGAACGGTCTGCGAACCTTTGAGCGCATTGACTGTGTGTGTCTACAACAGCAAGTTATACGCTCGTATATGTTTGAGTACGCATTGATAATTATGGTGAATGAGTCAAGTTGACCATTCCAAAAGAGCGGTCGAATAGGGAATCTTTACATATCTATGGGTTCAGGCACAATTGTATATATACTGTATGTCATATATGTGTTGGAGAGAGGGGTGGGATGGTTACATGACAAATTATTACATTACCGGACATTTTTTAATTGTACTGCATCTCAACAATGCCTATTTTAATTGATCTGTTGAATAAATAATTTATAACAATGGAGGACATGGTCACAAGTATCATGTTATTAATACAGCAAGTTAAAATAACTTCTTTAAAAAAAACATGTCTTAAAATAATACAGCTAAAATTGTACTTGTAAGGATAAGTATACACAGAGGAAAACCTTACTACTATTAGTGTAGCAGGGAGACAGTGCCAAATTAGACAACTTCAAGCTGTTGTCCGTTGTAGACATTGCTATCTGTCAAGCAGGTAACGTTATTATTGCTAACATAGCGGACCCATCGGAAAAATACATCGGCATCATCTGTATTAAAGAGAAAATAATCACTTTATCTGACGTTTAAGTGAATATAATAGCCTTGACAGCCGAGTTCCATAACTATTGACTTTGTTCTCGCTCACCGTAGGTGATGCAGGGTTAGCAGGTTTTCGCAACAAAACCCGGCCAATTGCTACTCAAACTAGCCCAATCGTGTTTCGATGGGGGTGCCCTGGTAAAAATCGCGTTCCGGGCAGTAAAATACACGTTTTTCAACGGGGTTTGTCCGGCAAAATTCACATTACAGGGGCTAAATATCATTTTATTGGGGTCGCTTCAACCTGCGGACATGAAAAACAACCCATGGCAACAGCGTTAGTAGCCCAATTGGCAACACTGAGGTGATGTAAAAGAGAAAAGCAGGCATTTGGACCAAAGCACTGTGAGGAGAGAGAGGGGGAGACTCAAAATGTTTCTAAACTTAAAACGCATTTTTGCACCGTTTGCGTTTGTGTTGCTTTACTACTTACATTTAAAGTATAAAACATAGTTATTTGCAATACACAGCGTGGTTTTTAATCATATTTTTAGGGGGGACAACCCTCAGATGGGGGGGGTCCTGTTCCCCCCGACGCCCCCGGGATTTCCGCCTATGGAAACTCTAGACGGCATAGGCTGATGGGTCCCTAACGCAAACTGATGATATTCACAGCGTTAAACTACATGGCACAAGCTGATTAGTTAATGTTTCATACGCAGCCAGTGAGCTTGCTGCTTTACATTTAAATGGCTGGTTAGCATCCACCAGAGCATTTCGCAGCATGCTTTCACAGTTCCTCTGAAACCCTCCACCTTCCCCAGCTCCACCCGTTTAGATCTGCTACAGGTTATTATATATGCTATTTGTGCAGCAGCAGTAATACTCACTGCACTGTATCAGCGTATGTACTGGCAGTAGCAAGTTCCTGTACTTGCTTTGCAGCAGCAGCAATAATCTGCAACAACAACAATAACCAACAGCAGCAATTTAGCAGCGTAGCAGATCTATTCCGCCAAGACCAAATACATTAACATTGTCATATCCATTACCATGTTAAAATCTTCAGAAAGTTGTCATGATAGAACTATTTTTATTCAGTGGCAGAAACAGGCTTCTATACATAAGAGGCTTTTTCAAAAGCATAAAAAAAATAAATTACCTCAGTTTCGAACTATTCATCTAACATTCAAAAAACATTCATATTCACAACCAAGTGTACATCAGAATATAACTGCACACATTTCCATATCAAAAACTAGAGGTGTGGTTACTCATTTCACACAAAACGATTAGTCAATCAAAACAGAGCTGATTTACATATTCAAGAATGGTCATGTTAAACGAAATTACAACTTTCTGGTGCAAAAAGACTAACATTAGGAGGGGAAAAAAC